TTCAAGGCTAGCACTCTACCACTTGAGCCACAGTGCCCCTTCTGGCTTTTTCTGTGTATGTGGTGCTGAGGAATCAAACCCAGGGCTTCATGCATGCTAGGCAAGCACTCTAACACTAAGGCACATTCCCAGCCCAACTGCTGTCGTTTTTAAGCCACTCAGGTATTTTGTGACAGAAGCATGAACTAAGCTATGAAGGGAGAGAACACAGTACTGTGAAAACAGAGCCTGACTTAGAAGGAAAAAAACCCCTATGAGGCAGGAATCCTTTCACTAACTAGGAAGTAGTCAAGTTTCAAGTAATTAATTGCTGCAGTAGAGGTTAGAACCAGAAACCATCTTATATCACACAAATCAGAAATTAAGATGGGACTTGATTAGGCAGTAAAAGTAGTCAGAGCCCCACTCAGATCCAAAGGAAGGGGATAAGACCCCTACTTCTCCCCATGAGTAGTGTCAGAGGATCTGCAGCCCCTCTAATTCACCCAGCCAGGCAAGGGGGTGGTGGTGGACACAGGGTAGCAAAATGAGGACAAGATGGAAGGGAGGGCCAACAGCCAGCCCTGAAAATGTGTTAAAAAGGTTCTGGACTTTATGCTCTGTATAATGTGAAGCCACTGAGGAAGTTTAAATGAGCAGTTTAATGAATGGCTCCTCCTGTATTACTGAAGCTTGTAACAAGCTATGGTATCTGTGCCTGTATGGTCACACTTGGTTCATTGCATTCACTTGGTAGAACTGGACCACCTTTGAGTCCTGCCCATCATGAATGCTAAGTAGAAAAAAATGTGTGGAATGCACACATGAGTGAATTAAGTAATTGATGATCTGAGAGCCATAACTGTAGGGCACCCATTGGTTCTATGAGTCTCTAACTTTAATGTGCCTATGAATCTACTGGAAAATCTTATTAAAACACAGTTTCTGATTCAATAGATCTTGGATAAATCTCACATCCATAGCAAGCTCCCAATGGCCTCAGCTCACACTTCCAGGAGTGATGATTTAAAAATCAGTGTCTATGGGCTGGGAAGGTGGCTCAGTGGTAGAACGCTTGCCTTGCATGCATGAGGCCCTGGGTTTGATTCCTCAGGACCACATAAGCAAAAAGAAAAAAGCTGGAAGTGGTGCTGTGGCTCAAGTGCTAAGAGCGCTAGTCTTGAGCTGAAGGGCTGAGGGACAGCGCCCAGGCCCAGAGTTCAGGCCCCACTTGAGCCATAGGAAACCACTGGTTTCCTGGTGGTTTATTGGAGATAAGAGTCTCATGGACTTTGCTTCTCGGGCTGGCTTTGAACCACCATCCTCAGATTTCATTCTCCTTAGTAGCTAGGATTACAAGTGTGAGCCACCAATAATAATAATAGAGCCACCCGCTCTATTTAGATATTCTAAGGAGACGGATGTATTATTTCTCTCTCATGGGAAATACTTATAGATGTGACCTGATACCCATTAACTAGTGTACAGAAACAAATATCTCATGATTTGAGCTGGGGTGGCAAAGTTTGGAACTACAAGAAACATGATATGCCTGTTCTCTTGAAATCTACAACTTTGTTGGGACAACAAAACAAAAAGAACAGAAGCAGTGCATTAGATAATCAAATGAATCTTTTCACTCCCTTAGCCAACAGTCACTGAGTAATCACTATGGACAAAGAACTGGGTCAAGGGCTGTAAGAAATCCAACATAAGGTACAGTGCCCTTCCCCTAAGAATTTGCAGTTTAAGACACATACACAAATAATGATGGGTGCAGCCTGTAAAGAGATAAGCATTAGAAAGATATAAAGCTGGTGGAACAAATGGTTATAGAAGTCAGGAGCCAGAAAAAGAGTCCTTCTGGCATGCAAGGTTTGAAGAGGGAGGTAGGTGAATCTTAATTACTGCTAGCATTGAAAGATGAGGAGGAGGCCAACATCAGTAGCTCATACCTGTAACTCTAGATACTCAGAGATCTGAGTTTGAAGCCAGCCCAGGCAGACAAATCTATCAGACTCTTATCTCCAATCAACCAGCAAAAAGCCAGGAGGAGTGGCTGGAGTGGTAGAATGCCAGCCTTGAATGGAAAAAGCCAGGTAAGAGTACAAGGCCTTGAGATCAAGTCTCAATACCAAAATAAAGGAGAAAGAAACAAAGAGAGGAAAGAAAAAAGGAAAAAAGAAAGGGTAGGTAATGAAAATAGTGAAGAAAGAGGGATTCAAGAATTTGAAGATGGACAAAACAAACATTTCCAGTTAGTAGGCAGAATACATCCAACACCAGAGATGATCATGTAGGAAGGCAGGGAGCCTCACTGGGTACCTATGATAATCCCTTAACATAGAACCATAAATAAATAGTCAAGTTATATAGGAAGGAGAGAGATAAAAATAATTCCTGAGAAGAGTGAAGTTTGAGGCAGTTTTGTAAAGACATATGTCCATGGATTAGCAGTGTGGAATGCAAGAATGAAAGACAGGAACAAGCCAGCTTTCAATCTTATAACCCATAAATTTCAGCATTAAGGACAGAAATTGTTTCTTCAGTGGAGAAATTGAAGAAACTATAACAGCAAATAGTGGAAGTTGTTTATTGATTTGCCTAAAAAGCATGCCAATTTATTTCAATGTGTGGGGTTTACTTTATCTGAATTTTGATTCAAACTGGCACATTGGGGGAGGGGGACAGCAGGAGGATGGGCCATATTTTGGTGACAATTGAGTATAGTAGTGGATTTTTAAATATGATAAGATATTATTATGATTTTAAAGACTTCTTTTTTTAGGGGGGGGTCTGGTCATGGGGCCTGAACTCTGGGCTTGGGCGCTGTCTCTCAGCTCTTCAGCTCAAGGCTAGCGCTCTACCACTTGAGCCACAGCACCACTTCTTCCTTTTTGCTTATGTGGTGCTGAGGAATCAAACCCAGGGCCTCTGGCATGCAAGACCAGCACTCTACCACTGAGCTACCTTCCCAGCCCTTAAAGACTTCTCTTAAGAGAGTCTTTATGTATTAGAGGCATGTCCTGAAGTATTTACGGATATATTAATGTCTGGAATTCTCTTCAAAATAATACAGTGAAGAACAGGTAGAGATAAAATTACTCATGATTTGAACATGGTTGAATCCAGATGCTGAGGTTTATTCTACCTTTCTATGTATTTTGTGAAACTTACCATAAAAATATTAACAACAGCAACAAGCAGGCTCAAGGGGTAAGGAAGCCCAGAGATAGTGCCCAGGCCCTGAGTTCAAGCCCCAGGACCGGCAAAAGAAAAAAGCAGGTGTTGAGGCGTGAACTCTGGGGTTGGCACCCACTGCAGTGGTAAGGCCCCACCCCTACCATCCTCCTTTCTGCCAGGTTCTGCTCTTGCAGGTTTTCAGTTTAGGGCATCTCCCGATTTTCCTCGTCTCCTCCGGAAATCTACTAGTTTCCCACACTATAAGATGTTCTTTCTATTCTTCCACAGCTCCCCAAGACTGTCCGAGGCCCCAGAGTTACCCACAACCTGCTGTCCCCAAACCGCGGCCACCAGTTTCCCCCCACGCCGTGGGGGCATTTGGTCCGGTCCGACAGCTCTCCCGGAGAGCGCGTCTGTGTCGCCATGGCAACGCTCTGAGCGGGTGCGGGCGCCCGCCGAATCCCGCCCGGGAACCCTCTGTAGGAGTCCGGACTGGGTCTGGGGCGGCCCTAGGTGGACTACGTGTCTACCACCGAGCTGCTGAGAATCTTGAGCCCCAGGCAGGTGTCCAGCCGAAAATCAGCCAAGGCCAGGTTGGACAAAAGGTCAGGCTCCAAAGGGTCAAACGAAGATGCAGTGATGGATGGTTCTGGCGTCTACCTCCCACTCTTGGCAAGGGATGGGTGACAGGTCACTGAAGGAAAGAGGCCTTCTGGCTAGGGAGAGACCCGGTAGAGGACAGACAGGACAGAGACTAAAGGTATGGGGGGAGGGGACGGTGGTGACAAAGTTCAATGGTGGTGGGCGAGGTGGTGTGAAAACTGTTTAGCTGCAGTACCGGCCTGGAGTACAGGCAGAGATTGTGTGAGACTAGAAAGGGGAGGACTTACAAGGTGACTTTGGGGCAGGATGTGAATCAAGCAGGTGAGGTAAGTGGAGTTGGCAGCCTTTGGCAATACTAGGGAGAAGGGATGCCAGGGGGAAGGCATCAGCAGAAATTTGTTTCAGAAAGTGATTGTAGAACATTTTCTGCAATGTATTCATTCTATTTCCCTTAACAGTGTAGACACATGAAAAAATGAAACACAAACATTCACACATTCGATTTCAACCCCCTTGCGTGCACACACACACATAGTTAATAGTTATGGAAGCTAAGGAAATGTGGGACTTGTAAAATGTTATTACAAAACAATAGATTATGGTCCAATGAGCAATAGAAGCAATAATTACTAAAGAAGGTTAAGGGTGTTGGGATCAACTTCATGAGGAGCATGGAATTTCAAATGAGTATCAAGGGAAGGCAAGTCTGACCCATAGTATGACTTCCTGAAGCCACAGAGGTCCTAGGAATGTCCCCAGGCCTTTATAGCCTTCCTACAACTCCCTTTAGCAGCAGAGTACTAGGGAAGGGGACATAAAGGCCAGTGTCCTGAAAAATTATTCCATCTATTGAAGAGATCTTCAAACACCTCTAAGAAACAGATTTGGGTTGCTTCAACATTTTTTGGTGCTTATTTGACTAGGCAAGTCTTTATTTTTCCTTTCACATACCTAAGAAACATCTCAGGAGAACATTTTGGAGAAAGCTGTTAAAGGACAATGCCACTGGGGTAGGTTATGATGTGTGACATAAAAAGTTAATGGAAGAGCCATGAATCTTTGTGTGGAGAGGAATGGCCAGCAGACAAGAGGTAGGAAGGACTTGAACCACAGTACAATAGGCAGAATTGAGCAAGCATATCCATGTGGTTTCTCATAGATGATTTTGTTGTGCTCTCTTCTCCCTAGGAAATAAACTTTGGCTCTAGAAAGAAGATTCCATTTTCCATAATAAAATGGCAGCGGTGAAAAACCCTAGCCAACAGCAAAAGAATGCAGAAGAACCCTGTAGTAACTTATCACCCATCCTTTTGAAGAGGCTGGTGGAGGAGCCCAAGAGAAGAGGAGAAGTTCCTAATCACCTCCTGGAATCCAGTAAGTAGTTAGAAAACAGATTTTGTGAACAGCTCCCATCCTCCCAAGGGATCCAACTCCAGAAGGCAGAATGGAAAAGTTAATGCTGATTTGTCTATATCATTTTATAGGTTCCTAATAGGTTTTTGTTGTTTTGTTTTGTTTTTGTGCCAGTACTGAGACTTGAACTCAGGGTCTTGGCAGTGTCCTTTAGCTGTTTCACTCTAGGCTGGTGCTCTACAACTTGAGTCACAGCTCCACTTCCAACTTTTTGGTTAATTGGAGATAAGAGTCTCATGGACTGACCTACCTGGATGGCTCCGAACCATGCACAATCCTTAGCTCTCAGCCTCCAGAGTAGCTAGGGTTGAAGGTGTAAGTCACTGGTGCCTTATAATTACAAACAATAGTTCTATTTAGATCTAGCCACTTAAATGATGTATTTTTTATATTTTTTTGTTGTAAAGATACTGTACAGAGGGGTTACAGTTACATGAGTAAGGTAATGAGTACATTTCCTATGGAGCATTATTACTCCCTCCTTTGTTTTTCCCCTACCATCCTTTTCCTCCCCACTTCTCCAACTTCTCTCCCCCCCCCCCCCCCCACCCCCACCCCTGCCAAAGTT